GACCTTGCAGTAGATGCCCAATATGTAACCACTAAGCCACTAGGGCTTCAAATACCTATGAGACAATTAAAAATACCAAGGCTTGGATCAGGTGCACCTTAGTCCACAAAATGACACCTTCGCTTTTGAACACTTAAATAGGTCTTGTGCAGATCGGCACACTTGATTTTGGATCATTGTTTCCATGTGTTGTGGATCTAACTAAAATGAAATCTTTGACAACATCAAGGATTTTCTCTGTCGTTATGTTGTCTGTCGGTCCAATAGTGATGATTGTAGCTTTCTTTACATCGAGTTGCAATCCATACTGAAGGCTACAGGCTGATTCTCATCAGCCAGGACGTCAAGTCCCCTTCACTTTCTGTGAGCAAGGTTGTGTCCAGTACATCTCACAGGTGAATGAGCCCTCAGCCATGAAGCCATGTTGCTCCAGCATACAGATTACACAATTATATGGTGCAAGTAAACAACACAACAGACACACCTTCCGCGATTTTAAACTATACAGTAACCACTTGTCCTTGGTCAAGTAAATGTTTTTGGTCTGTGTAGATTCTAAATGAGCACAATTATAAGTGTTCTAGAATTCATATTTTTCACAATGTTCTCAAGCTTTGTTATGATAATAAAACACAAGTACTTACTTTTCTGGCATTCTCTGCTTTATCAAGATCCATCTGATATCAACAAGATTATTTGTTCCACATCCTTTTTTTAATCTGGTCTGAACCTCTGGCATCTCCCTGTCAATGTATTGCTGTAATTGTTTTCAGAATTTTACTTGCATGTGGATTATTTGTTGCTATGTTCACCTTCTTTGGAATAAGCAAAATATGGATCTCTCCAATCAGCCAGATGACAGCAAAGGAGAAAAAATCCAAGTGTTTTTTTTTTTTTTTAAGCACATATTCTAGACTAAGTGAAGAATATCAGAAATACCTGAGCAAGGCCCAAGAACCTGCAGGATATAGGTGGAACCTTAACCATTGGGGCTGGGAAGGTCTTCTGGAAAGGATGGAGTATATATTATTAAAGGAAGTATAAGTTCAGAATGGATGTCTGAAGCTTGTGAGCTAGAGTTTGAAAAAACATGCTTAGTGACTTTTTAAGTGAAAATTATTTGCTAGGCAAGGGAGAAATAAAAATAATTTTATTTACTTCATGATTATTTGTTCAGTACTCACTCTGTAGCACAGGAAGTTCAAGCAGCCATGTGTGAAGAGCTGAAATTCATTGAGTGGCCAATGAATTTAGGAGCAGAAACGGAAACACCAACGATAAATAAAATGGTGACAGAAAACAGACAGGGAGTACAAATTGCTGAATAATAATAAATGGGAAGAACTGTTTTCAGTCACAAAGAAGTAATGCCAGAACCTACTAGAAACCTAGGTCCAATTCATTAACATTTCTACACATAACAGCTTCTTATACCACATTACAATATTTTGCCAGCACTGGTCTTTAGATCAGGCCCTCCCTCCCCCGTTGACTGCTTCAGTGACCCCTACAGGACAGAGCAGAAAGCCTAATCTTACTCGCAGAGAAGCTGGTGACTGCCGCCAATACTGAATGGAACCATGACATTCATCACTTAGATACATAGCAGTCTGTTTTAGCTGTATCTTATTCACCTGCTATTTCTTTTTAAAAGTTTTGCTTGTGCCGCTTCCATTAAATGTAATCTTAGAAACTCTAAGTACAAGAAACGGACTCGTAATTCTAGTCTCCTATTGAACACCTCACTAGTTGTCTCTTAGTACCAACTGGATTGTGGATTAGAGCCGCAGACAGAGGTGTGAGCTATCCACAGGTCAAGCACCACTGTGGGAGACGCGGTGTGGGTTAGCAGCTCCAACCCACCAGCGGTTCGGAGGGAGTAATATGAAGCTGTCTCAGAGTAAGTCTTAGAAATGGTATTTTGATCTGAATGGGAATCAACTTGTTAATCGTGCATGAGAAAGTTAAAAGTGCCCATCTCATTCAAACCTATTAAACTTGAGGAAAAATTAGTTTTCTCCCTATAAAAAGACATATTTAAAATGAATTTTAAACTTTTATAAAACATTTACATCAAGAATTACACTTCCATGGTTTTCATGTGAAAAATGAATATAGTTTCCAAACATATGAACGTATAGGTTTATGCAAAAGAAAACCAAGTCCAAAAGCCCAAGGAATTTATCAGACATTTCCTGTGTGTATGTGTATTGTGTACTTTACATAAATTTTGAAAACCAAGAAACTATGAGAAAAGGTTTTTCATAGCATGTCTGGTAGAAAAACCTGACTCCTCTCCTCTGGTCTTCACCCCATTAGTTGTGACCACCCCTACTCTGCTACAGACATGTTTATGCTTGAATTTGAGGTTTTGCCACAAACCAAACCCTATAGTGCAATGGTTTTCAGCCTTCCTAATGCCGTGACACCCCCCCCCCCAACCATAAAATTATTTTCATTGCTATTTCATGAACTATAATTTTGCTACTGTTATGAATCATGCGACCCCTGTGAAAGGGCCGTTCAACCCCCAAAGGGGTCTCGACCCACAGGTCTTGAAACAACTTCTATAGTGGGTGTTATACAGCTTGAGCTATTATAACTACAAAGTCAACAATTTGAAACCACTACATAGAATGAGGACACTGACAGCCTTGGAAACCCAAAGGGGCAGTGCAAACAGGGCTGCTATATGTTGGAATCAACAATAGCAGTAGGTGGTCTTAAGGTAAGTATAGATCTAAGAGCTGAAGAAACCAAAGCAAGGGAAATGAATCCACCAACACACTAATTATGAGTAAATAAACACAGCCTTAGAAGTAATGGCTGGGCAGTATGTTAATAAAGAGAAATATAACAAACTTCTAAATATAAAGGTTTGTCCTGCTGTGAAAGTGGATTGGAAAAAAGGGGTATACTTTTGTAAATATCAAGGAGAATCTATCTGAAAAGTTCCCTTCAGAAACCAGAATTTTATGTAATTTACATAAATTAAAATAGATATATTTCTGTAGCTGGATAGTAGATCCATCCATGAATAGCTTCTTAGACATTCAGCTACTTACTAAATTACAAAGAATCACTATCAAGCCCATCAAAAATTCAGCCTGTTTAAAAAATTTTCAGTGTGCATTACACAATTACAACATGATGCCATTTATTTAACAAGACTGAAAAAATGAGTCTTAGATCAAATATATACATTTTAATATTTGAAATATTTACATAATGCAACCGCCTCATATTTCAATGTTAAGATCAGTGTTTTCTAATGTCCTCTGAAGTTGTAAATACTCTAGTAACTCGAGCTCAATTATACTTTGTAGCACACCGCTCTCTATCTGCCTTTAAAATAAATACACTGACTTGAAAAGAGCTGCACCTAATCTGTGTTGGGAACTGTTTGAACTCCAGGTCCTTGTGTTCCCTGGTGAAGTTCTGATCTACAGTAAAGACAGCCTATGCCTATGTGTGTCTTCAAGATCATCATCAGTAAACGTTTAGAAACTGATGAGCAGAAATAAAACTCTGTGTGCGTGTGTAAGCATAAACACACAGACACAGACATGATACAAAGCTTTTATAGAACGAAAGTTAGTAGTGGTTGATAACTGCCAGAAATCCACCCAACCCCACCCCAGCCCCTGAATCAATATGTAAACCTTGTGAATTATGAAGCTGGATTTTGCTAATCAAATTTCGTAATGTCTAATTTTAATTCCAATTTGTGTGCTTAGTTGTTTTTTTTAACGTCCCTTTCTTTTAAAAGGGTTATTGGTTTGGTCTTTTTCTGGGGGGGGGTAAGCTTATGCTTTTGGAAAGAGATTTTAAAAAGTCTTCCAAAGGGATGCACCAAAATTAAAGACCAATTCTGAGCAAAGGTACGCATCAAATAAAGCTCTCTAGAATCCAAGGATTTGCCTCATTCCTAAATAAAAGGGGAGCATCACTATGATTCATCTTTCAAAGAGCACGTGTGAACAATCATAAACTGGGAAACCCCTTCCGTGCAGCACGATGCTGCTCACAAGACAATACAATTCTGTGGGAGACTAACCACCTAATTTATCCCAGACACTGGGTTGGCACAACTTTTCCTTTGTAACTCTACCTTTCAATGAAGAATGTTTAAGGGAGCCTTCAAAGTCCAATTAGGTCTTTTTCACAAACATTCACACAAAAACACTGAGATATTGAAAAAAGGGATTGTCCACCTATGTTTGCATTCTTTTTAAATTCCACAACTTCATGAAGATTTGCCATTTCTGATTAAAAGGGAGTAACAGGTGTTACTAGTATTCTTTTGATTAAAATGTTCCTTCCTAAACATTACAGTTCAATATTAAGTGCAATTCTGAAAAAGAATTGGGGAGTCATTTTAATATTTACAAGGAATAAATCAGCAGAACAAGATTATGTCAGATAGGCTGTGTACAGTAGCTGCAGCTTATAAAACATACCAGTAATTTGTACCTGGTGAGTATAGAGAACCAAAGGAAGATTCAGGTGACTTTACAATCAAGGGAGTACATATGGCATCAACAAACTGGAGGACAAAAAAAAATTCACATTTTCTACATTACAAAAAATTATAGATCTCATAAATGTCTTTGAAGACAAAGAAAAATACCATGTCCTTTGAATGATGGAAAAGAAATCTGAAATGGAACTCTAAATGGAAAAAGAGTTTTACTTCACAAGACCAATTTTTTTGGCTTCTGTTTCATATATCAATAATCTCCACATTTTTACTATAAAAACTTCTGCTTCTTCATCGAGTACCTAGGGGATGGATACAGAGAAGAGACAAGAAAGACAACTGTTAACATCTCTACCATTTGGGACCAGTATAAAATCGTTATAAGAATTTACTGACAAGAAAATAACTTAACTGTGAGAAATGAAATTAATTTGCTGTATATACAACAAAAATAATACAAGAAATTATACATTTTTTGCGTATTTTAAGAAATGTATTGCCTATATAATTGCTGAAAAAATTTAGCAGAATTCCATGACTTATTAAACATTAACTACTACAGTTCTTTTCTTCCCCACTTTATCTTTATAATATAGAGTCGACATTTCAACATGTCTTTAAAAAGTTCTACAAAACAACTTTTTAAAGAAAGCAATTGGCACCCTGGTAGTGTAGTGGTTATAAGTTGAGCTACAATCTGCATGGTAGGCAGTTCACACCACCAACAGCTAGCTGCCCAGGAGAAAGGCTGGGCTTTCTATTCCCATAAACAGTTAGTCTCAGAAACCCACAGGGGGTTGGCTGAAAGTCAGCACTGGTTCTAAGGCACAAAGTTTATTCATAGAAACAATATAGGAACAAAATGCAACCAAAGTTCTTTAATCAGTACAAAATGAGGAAAGCCACATATACTTTGAAAAAGTTAAAGAGTGTACTACTACTGAAAAAATTACTATATACACTCCATTATAAGCCAAGTTTTCCAGCACATTTTTATGCAGTTTTTGTGGTAAAATTAGGTGCCTCGGCTGATATTCGGGTCAGTTTATACTCCAGTATATATGGTAGTAAAAGTGTCCCTTTCCCCACCCATTTAAGAAGCACCTATGGGCCAATAAGCTTGTAACAGCTGGCAGACAACACTGGCTCAGCTGGTTTCTACCCACAAGAATCAACAATGAGCCAGAAATATCAAGCCCATAGAAGGGAAGGCACAGTCTCACTAATTGTATTCAAGAATCAGAATATTTCAATAGATCCAGACATGAATAAGATTGACACATGTAATCATGACTAACAATGAAGGCAACTCGGCCAAGGTTGAATGAAAGCTGGATCATGGTTCACTCATGATTCCTCCTCTCTACTGCAAAGCAGCTATAGGCTCTGACCATTTCAGGTTCTACTCTCAAGGATTGGGGCTTTTCCACGTCCCTTTTTTTTTTAAGGTGTTTTTTTTTTTTATTTAATATTTCAGAGACAACTAGATACCACAAATGTTTTATCAGAAATTCAAACAACAGTTTCATCTGGCTCAGCAGAAAGTATTAGCTGTAGCAGACATCAGATAGGGGCTTAACGCTAAACATTTGACTTGGGAGCTCCTTTTGATCAGGAACCCACTCTGTCCCTTCCTGCTATCCTTGGCTATATTTCAAAATGTAAGCTTCCATCATTGAATCATAACCCCTCATCCATAGTTGCTTTGAAAATGCCTGGTGATCTCATTTCAAGAAATCAACCATTGAAGGTTCGATGCAGCCCCAGTTCAACTCTAACACATGATGCTGTGTTGGGGCTAACTCAACAGCAAGTGGTTTGTGCAAATTGAATGTGAACAGTCAGGAAAGAGTCAGGGTGACTTACGTTTTTAACACAAAAGAGTAGGCAACTGAATATATATTTATACATATAAACAACAAGCAGGAAAAAGCTGATGAAAAAGAAGAATCTCTAGTGGTATGTAATGACATTCAATGATGTTAACAAATATTCAAATTTATTTCACGACTATATAAAAAAACCAGCTGAAACCAACACATGTAGAAAATTAGATTCAGATAATTGTTTTTCTTGTTTTCTTTTTTTCACATAAATAAAATATTAGTAATGGTAATCTTCTAACTTACCATAGCAACATCATCTAAAATGCTCTGAGGTGAACTATGAGCCATAACCTGAAATAAACAAGCAATTATCACTATGAAATTATGAAAATAGCATATAGATAAGAAATTTTAAGGGGCATACACTCAAACTGGTAAGCGAACTTCCTTTTAGGGTATAACTCATGAGATTTTACTTTCAGGAGATAATGGGAGGAGATAATACACTTTAGTAATTAACGTTGGTTTTGGAAGCTTAGTTCTGCAACGTACAATATAACTTAGTCAACATCTATAAAATAGGGATATGATTACATTAGCAACTTATACTTCCCTAAGGTGGTCAGAAGGTTGAAAGGGTCCATATAAGATGCCTACCAAGAACTAAGCCTATCATGAAGCAATCAACCCATATTGACAACTATGACATGAAGACTATTTTGTTCTCTCAAGTGACAGAGGTTCAGATTCCTCCATCAACTCTCCCATATATTTCAAGGAGAGGACAGTCTCAGGGTCCAAAGAAGAGAGCACAACTGGCAGCATCCATTAGTTCTGTGGAGCCCTGGTGGGGTAGTTGTTATGCGTTAGGCTGTGATCCACAAGGGCTGCAGTTTGAAACCACCAGGTGCTCTGAGGGAGATAAGACGGGGCTTTCTACTCCCACATGAAGCAGTTCCATCCTATCCTACAGGGTTTGCCATTCAGATTTGAGTTGATGGCAATGAGTTTTGGGGTTTTTTAGTTTTATTAATTCTGTGCTCTTTGATCCCTCAAATGAGAGCATGTGGTTCACTTAAGTATGCCAATCACTGAACTAAATCATGGTCTTGATTGAAAAGTGTAGGAATTTAAAAAACTAACCTTAGAACAAACAAAATCAACTAATGTAGCTTCTTCTTCACCTATGTATTCTATGATTTTCTTATTAATCCATGGTCTAATTCGTCGTTCCATCAGTATCTGCAAAAGAAATTGCGATTAATTTTTCATTACTTTTCAGTTTCTCATTAGTTTTAGCCAATCCTATATCCTGTCTTTCTTAAAACTAATTATCAGGAATGTTTATTATTCAAAATTATGCTAAAATACGAATTACTACAACCACATTTAAACAGTTGAAGCCTCAGAAGGAAGCTTAAACATGAAAAGATAGAAAAATAAGACATCGGGCAAAATCATGCCACCAGTATAATTTGTTTAATACACATTATCTCTGTAATCCATATTAACCAAGAACCTTTATCTTTCACCACAATGTCTGCCTGAGTTAAATGAAAAGACAAATACCAAGATACAATTTCTTGGTTCTAATGCTTTAACAGCCTGGCTTCAATGTAACTAAGATATCACTAAGGATCTTCCAGTAATACAACTTGGCCATGGCATTTAATTGGTGTCAAGGTCCCAACAACGCTATTATCCTTTCCCTTACCAATGACAAAATAAATCAAATGAGCTTGTATTCAAATCCATTCCCAATAGCATGGCTACTCACAGAATCCACAATGGACCAATCAAGGGGATAAGCAAAGAGCTCGGGCTTGGCTGTAGGAATTTTCTCAATGAGACTCTTGATGTGCTTGCGTTTTTCTTCTGTGTTTACAGTGCCTTTGGCAGCATTTTTATCATCTTCACCATAATCCAAGGGAACTAGCTTCCTTTTTCGGGGTACATCATCACTGTCTTCATCGTCAAATTTGTTAAAGACACTATCTACAGGGAGTTTCTTTCTCTTCACAGAATTAGGTTGACCAGGACTATTGGAAGCACCTATAGTAAAATCATCACATTAGCACAATAAAGTAATCTTCAAATATTAAATCTTACAACCCACCAGCCCTCAAAAACAGTACAAAAAATAACGTTCACAAGTGTCAGAGAAAGATCCCAACTGTAAAAAGTAACTCACTACTCACAAGTGCTAGAAAATTTAACTTTTCATTTCTTCTCAGAACTTGAGGCAGCTGCAGATATAGGATCACTAGTAGAACTATGAAAACAATCATGAGCTAGAAACGCATGAGTATTTTTCTATCTACCTACCACATAATTATTTTTTCCTTTAGGTAAAATTTAGCCATTGGCAAGACAAAAAAAAAAAAAGGAAGAAAATGATAGCATACCCAGTTTAAGACTAAGTCCTATTTTTGGCCTATGTTCCTCTGGTTGCTGTTGATCGGGTGAATTTTCGTGAGGAATGATAATACCACAGGGAGACTCGTCACCAGGCGTGTTGGGGGTCGCGTTGCCACTGGCAGAGGAAACAGATGGCGCAGAGCTGATGGGTCTCAGAGTCGGTTTGAGACAGGGCTTTTGTTCTGGCTCCTCTTCCTCTTCTACAGGCTCTTCTCGTTTTTCTTCTTTTTCTTGTTTTTCTTCTTCCTCTTCCTCAGATTCTGGCTCTTGCTTTATTTGTGGTTGCCTGCGTCTCTCGGCCTCTTGTTCCATCTATAACCACAAAACAATCTCATTAATTAGAAAGACTTCAGAAAAGCTTTTGTTTTTAAATTGTCTGAAATTTTTACTTATACATTTTATCAATAGATAAAAACCTGTTCATTTTAAAACGTAAAAGGAATGTGTAAATCATGGCGTCTACCAATGAAAAGCATATAACAATTCGTTTTAAAGCTGATATTAAGAATTCATATTATTAAATTCGGGACATATTAAAAACTAAGATACCTTCTGTAATTACACTATTCTTAAATCCAAGAATACCTAATGTCTTGTCTTCACATATAATTTAAAAATGCTTAATTGCTAAAACATGTATGAAAACATTTTTTGAAAACAAAAATATGAGGCGGCACTAGAATGAACAGACACAAACCACATAAAGTCCTAAGAATCAGAAGAAAAGTACTGGAAAGAGTTTTACAGCCAAGTTTCACGAAAAGACAACTCATTTAACTTTGTTTATTATAGGAAGGAAAACATTAAGATGTGTATAAGATGTTTAGAATAATTAAAAATTCTAATTCAATCAGTACTGTAGATAGGAGTGGGAGAATTATATAATACAAAAAATTATCGTGAAAGATACAAGAATTAAGTATCTTCTTCAATAAGGTATATTATCGTTTGTTTAACATAATGTGATGACCTTAAGGAAACCAAAGTGATGGTCTGAGAATCTCTTACCCTTTGGAGCTCTGCATCTGGGTCTGGGTGTCCTTCTGCCAGAAGGCGCTGCCTAATTTCCTCCAGTTCTTCCTTCTCTCTCTTCCTATCACGCTCATCTGCTTCCATTTCCTTTTCCCGATCACGCAATCTTTTCTGAAGAGCACTTCCCCTGCAAGAAAAAAAATTTTAAAAGGATCATGTAATATCCACATCAACTTTTCTACATGTCTCTGGCAGTACTTTTTCCTAATGCTACACATTATATGCTAATTGACTGCAGACTTCTGTGTCTACAGAATACCCAAGTCAATGTGCTCTCTCTACAACATAGTCTATTTAAGGAGGCAATGTTTGTACCATTTATTCACATCCTTGTCTTCAGTCATTCTAAGTGTAAAAATGTAGCTTTCGGAGGGAAGAGGAGAGTTCCCGGAAACCTTAAGCACTTAATTTGTGCTTAAGATATTATGCTATGAGAAAATAATTCAAGCAGAACTAATGCCATGAAGAATAGTTACATATCTTTAATTATTATCCTTGTAAAAATTGCAGGTAGTGCAGAATTAACAGAAAGTACAGGCTACAACTATCTGTATATTTAGATAGCATTTTATTATGTTTCAGGTAGTTGGAATTATGCACTCCCATTTTCTTATTCTCCTTCCTTCAGTAATTTATTTTTTTCCGTATCTTTTGGAACTTTCCATTTTAAAATCAAACCATTGAGCACTTTCATTTTTATTAATTTTTTTGAGGGGGAGCATTTTCCATTTAAATTGCCAACTCCAGTCTTTTGAATATTTTGTATGAATTTAATTACATAGTATTGTGTATAAACTTAATTATATACCAAATACCTATACTACACATCTGTTTATCAGTTACAATAGAAATAAAGTAAAATCAAGACACTGTTCGTACTTCCAGGAAACTTAAAATGGGGCAGGTGAACAGGGGCTAGAAGAACCATTCCAGGATAGCTAAGTGCTAGGATAGATTTAAAAGTGTTAGGGGAACAAAGTGTTGAGAGAAGTCAAGCTTTACAACTTTCACTTCACATTAATGGGTGTGGACTACTAAGTAGCCCTGTTTAAACCCTTTGCAGTAAAAATTTCTAGACAACCCTAGATAGCTATAGATATCATTGTTGGAAAAAATACATTATAGTACAATACTTTTTTTACTTTAGTGTGATTTGTGTGAAAGTTTTACAGATTCCATTAGTTTTCATTCAGTCATTCCTATACATTTTGATTAATGACATTGATTGCAATCCCTAAGGTTTTTTCCTTAATTTGTTTTAAAATAAATCTGAATCAGATCTTTTCCCAAAAAAAGATGTTAAGAATTGTTGATCATTTTCCAATAGCTTTATTTCCTCCTAACAATAGGCAGTGCATATGCAACTACATAAGCTAGTATCATCAGGTACAGTGGTCAATAGAATGTGACGATTTCACTTAACAGCTCGTAAACCTAAGGGTCTAGGGGTGACAAGGGATAAATACCTCGAAATATAAGTACTTTTATAAGTGAGGTTTCTTACCTGTAATATTTGGGATCATCTCTATCATCATCATAATCTTCTAAGAATTCTTTTAATCGCTTAGCTTCTTTAGCCTTGGAAGAACCAAACAACAAAAGTATAATATTAACCAAAAAGTCTTGAAGACTGCCCTTTAATTCTCTTTTGGGGGAGTAATTTTTCCTTACTCATTCAATCACACTAAGTAAAAAAGCACATTATATATTATTTTCTCTTTTACCTGAGAGAAAGACTTATCTGTGCAATGAAAACCATATTGTATACTACAACAAACAATCTCTATAATAACAGTATCTGAAGTACAGTCATCATATCTAAAGAAAACTGAGCACACTAGGAAAGAAAGCTGCAAAAGCTATCCTAATTGATTTTACTGATTGGACAAAAATATTTCATAGGTCGAGGATGCTATATAATTTTATCTTCTAAGGTGCCAGAAAAACCCACAGCCATCAACTCAATTCTGCCTCATAGTGACTCTGGTAAGAGCAGAGTACAACCGTGACACAGGGATCTGAAGCTGTGAGTCTATGCCAAACATTTCACTGTTAGTTTATCAACCACAAACGCAAAAACCCATTTCTATGTTTATGGTATAGTTCAATGAAAGAATAGCAGGGCAATGTAAGGATTAAAGTTCATATATGAATATACAATTCATAAATGTTATATATACACATATTTTTATTTATAAAACCAGTTCTCTCAGCACCCTATTTGATTCACTCAAATGCTATGCAACTTACAGAATATTCAAAGCTCCCTGAAATTTCAACAATTTTATGGATTCTGAATCAAAAAAGCTTTATAAATTATTATTTTATATATTAGTCTATGGCAGTGTCATTTCAATTGCATTCAAAGAAGAAAATTTTACATGTAGGAAAAGTTTGAAATGTTTAAAACATGCAATAATAGTTATTGATTAACTGGGAACAGTAAGTTGGTTGGTTTTTTTTCCCTTTTAGTTAACAGATAGGAGGCAATGTGATTTTTATCTGAGAAAAATGTCATTTAAAAAACTCCCAATCTTACCATTTCTCTTCTTCTTTCTTCTTCTCTTTCAGCCTCTTTCTCATATTCTCGGGTTTTTTTCCGTTCTCTGATTTCCCAATTCTTAAGGCGCTAAAAGAGAAAATTAGAGAAGTTTTTAAATTATTGCTCAAATAGAGCTAAAATGTTGACAGCCAAGCTGCAAGAATGAAAACATTGCTTCAACTTACCTCTTGATAAGCAGCTTCTTTCTCTCGGAGTTTTCTTTCAAGCTTTCTCCGCTCATACGCATCTTCTTCATCCTCTTCTCGATCCCGTTTCTTGTCCTTTTCTCTTTCTCTCTCACGTTCCCTTTCTCGCTCTCGTTCTCTCTCTCGCTCTCTTTCCCGTTCCCGCTCTCGTTCTCTTTCTCGTTCCCGTTCCCTTTCACGGTCTCTGCTCTTCTCTCTATGGAAACAAAACAACAATACCTGCCTGTCAGCTTCCTGTTTTCCTTAAAAATACAAAAATCACAGAAAAAAGGAGTAACATACATTCTAAGGTACAGTATAAGCCCACAAGCCAGAAATTAAGACTTTAATCTCTACAAACTTTTAACAATCAGGTAAATTTAGAATATATTTCTAGTACAAGGTTCAGGAATGGTTTCTCAATGCTTACTGATAACTATGAAAAGAAACAAAACAAATGTCCCAATCCTTAATGAAAAATATAAATATGTATCACATCAGGTTAGAGACTATCTAAATGTCCTAAAAGACTAACAAATAATAATAAAATACCCAAGGAATAAAACAAAGCACAAACATAAATGACATACACAAGGAAAACTATAAGACATTACAAGAGACTAAAAGAGACCTATATGAGAGAAGTTCCATTTTCATGGCTTAGAAGTTATCAATGAAACTATCACTACCAACAGCAATCTATACTTAAAATGTAGTCCAGATGTCAATCACAACATTCTTTACACAAAAGAGAAATCCAATTGTCAACTTTATATGAAAAGTCTCAGATAGCCAAAACAACAGAGTAAGACGAGAGTCAGAGATCCAGTCATTCATTTGACAAGGGTTGAAGTGTACATCGCTTTATGAAAGTGATGTCACTAAGACATGCACAAGAATGTGGACAGAAACGAGAGTGTGTATTTATAACTTTACAAAAAAGCAAAAACTGTGGAGTTCTGTATGTGTGAAAGTGACGTTGCTCTCCAGGCCTAACAACAATTCAATCGGCTGCACTATGCTCTTGGAGTTTTCAAGAGGAAGGACTCTGGAAAGCATTCCATTCAAGGCAATATGGTTGCCCACCCACCATCGTTGGTCAGGACATAACTGTTTCCTACTGGGATCAAAAACCCACAGGGAATAGCAAATAACACACCCTTGCTTGGTGAATGTGAGAACTGAAGCACTTGCTAATAAAACTAAGAACTGCAGTCTTCAGTATGGATTCATTGCTAAGCAAAGATATAGTCACAAGTGGGCCAATCATCATCATAAATAGAGAAGAGATAGAAGTTTAAAGGATTCCACTGTACATAGGATACACAATTAATGCTCATGGACAAACGATCTGTCTTGAAGGAATTCCTTAGAAGATGTTCCTTCTGGAAGGGAAGAAAGCAAAACTTCATTTCTCATACTTTAGAATGTTACCAGACAGAAACAATCCCTGGAAAAGGGCATCATGCTTGATAAAGTAGGTCAATAAAAGAGGAGACAAGCAAGCCTCAATGAGGCAGACCGACACAGCGGTTGCAACAGTGATTTCAAACAGCAGTGGTTATGAAGATGCTGAAGAACCTAGGAGTGTTTTACTCTACTGTGCTGTGTGTGAGTCTGGGTAAATTTGCCAGCACCTAAACAGCAACAGTAGCATAATCTTAAAAGCCTAATATCAGATATCATTAATGATAAATGGACTGGATATAAAGTATGGTAAGGAGTAAAGAAGGAGCAGCATATGTAATATTCTAATAAGGATTAAAGGCTATAATAAAAGTCAAGCCATGTAAAGCAGATTACAAAGAAAGAAGAGCTGTAGAAAATATTTCTAGCTTATAAGGGCAGGATATGAGAAAGAATAGATGATTAAACTCACTGTGAATTTTTTTTTCATCACAAGTGAAAAATTTGGTAGTTTATGAGTTTTGATCAAATTAAAGTTTGAAGTCAGTGGTTTGCTGTTGATTTTAGACATAGAATTTCAAAAGTGGTAAACTGGAAGTGGTAACAAAGTACCTGCTAACTTGAAAAAAACAACAAAAATATGAGAAATCATTTGGTACAGAGTATGATGAAATGCTACACAACCATTAAAATCAGATTACATCATATGATAGAAATGAAGTTCTCAAAAATTTAATTCACTGATAACCAAATTGTAGAACACATATGAAGGAATGCTTGGATCCATATATATAGTGAAAACAGATATAACTTTCCATAGATCAAATTCTAATCAACTATTGTATCAAACGAGAAAGGGAAGGATGGAGAACTTCTCCTCCAACAACTGGTAGATGGACCCAGAGCTAAAATCAGGTAGAAAAGCTGTGAACAGAGAAATTAAACTTAGCTTGTAAAAGAAAGTAAATCAACATTGTCTAGGAGTGAGAAATGGAGAATAAATTTAGAGCCAGCAAGGAAGGAAGCTGAGGTAGTTCAAGTAGTATATAGAATGAAATAAAGACTTAAGCGACTGAAAATGGTGGTAAACATAATTATTTCCTAGCTTGAGGCCTTTCAAAGGGTAACTAGAAAAATGTCCACCAATCCAGGTAGACCACCGGGTACCATGTCTTTACCCAGAATAGGAGGCAGACAGTTGGCATACGGTACCCATAAAGTTCTGAATTGTATGTAATCTTCACTGGTGCTGTGTGACTGTGTCACCACAAGCAAGCAGAAAGAAGTTCTCTCATCACATATATAAATGTAAATGATCCTCCAGAAAACTGTTGACCAGCGGTTCTATCAAAGCTTTTATAACGTCTTACCTGGATCGACTCCGATCTTTATTTCGATCTGAGCTCCTTTCTCGGTCTCTTTCCCGATCTCTCTCTCGATCACGATCTCGCTCTCGCTCTTTGGTCCGGTCACGATCCCTATCACGTTCTCGTTCCCGCTCCCGTTCCTTCTCCTTTTCTCGTTCACGTTCTCTTTCCCTTTCTCGTTCCCGTTCTCGCCTTTCTCGTTCCCTTTCACGCTCCCTCTCTCTTTCTCTCCGTTCTTTCTCAATTTCCTGTCTTTCTTTCTCCTTTTTGCCTTTCTCTTCTTCCAGTTTCTAGAAACCAATAAAAGCACTTTTAGAGTTAACTCTGTAGTTCCCGTGTTCAAATCACTCCTGGTGCATTGCCCAAAAGTACCAAACCACTAGAATCTAATACTAAATGGGGTTTCAACTTGACAAATCCAAACTGAAACAATCACAAAACTAGACATATTTCGTGCACACCATATGCTGTAACTGAGCAGGAATCTCCAATCTTGGATGCTGGGAGATTGTGTCAAGTGTGGCTGGACACTTATTGACCATGCAATAACTAAAAGAATCACGGGCAATGTGGTGATCCATAATTTCTTGAAATGCAATTACTTAAGACTTAACTAAAACTTGATCGAGTTATTTTAATTTCTGTAAATGTGGGACTGTAATAATACTCATTATAACCCAGGGTTCCCATTACCTATAGGTTTACTACTTGAGAGATTCAGAAAGGGCTTAAGGAAAAGTCAAGTCACCATAAAGCAACAAAAATATCTTTTTTTCATTTGCTGTTACCACCCTCCAAAAGAAAAAGGAGCTGAATTCAGCCACAATATACTCTATGGAAACATGAACTCCCACCATTACAAGATGGATAGCTCACCAAATACAAAGTTTAAAATTCACTCACTTCAAACAGAAAATGTACATAATATTTTCATTAACTTAATTTTAAAAGTAGTATACTTATACCCATAATACCTATAAAACAATGAAAATTACATCAACAATGACAAATCCATCCTCGGAAGCAACGATTGTGTATTAACTTACAGATGCTGTGTTAGAACATGGATCGCCAACACGGGATTAACCTTGCCTACAAGCTATGTTTCTGGGAGGAAGAGCAAGTACATGGTTCACAAATAAAGTCAGACCAAGTTTGTACCTTGACAAGATTACCAGTGTACCACAAGGTTTCTACACAAACTCAGGGGGAAAAAACAAAACAAAAAACCCCAACAGGAAAAACAGAACACATTTATCCATTTGGTTCCATGTTTAGTGTCACTGAAATGAAATTTAACTGCAATAATAAAATGTCTTTTCTTGTTACGTAAAGCATTTAAAACAACTTTAAAATGCAATCTTACCTGTTAAGATACTTTTTGCTCTTGGTCATGGGTCAGAGGACTGACAGAATTATCAAAGAAAAGCTGACAGATTTATCAAAAGAAAAGCTAATGCATAAGAGATCAATATATTCAGTCACTCTACCAGTCTATAATATAAAAATAGAATGCAGGCAAAGCTAATACTGAATATGTTGAAATTACACAGAAAAGGGAAATGAGAAAAAAGAACAGAAAAGGGAAAACTATAGGGGCTAAATCTCATTCTGGAAACTGTTCTAATGCAATATAAAAACCTACACTATTAAATGAGGCTGGACTACATAAAACTTACCTCTGTCATACAGTTATAAAGAAATGTTTAATTTCTGAAATGATACTTACAGATTATTTTAGCTGTTCCAATAATAATTTGTGGAATTCCTCAGTTTTATCTTTAACTCCTGCTTATTCACTGTACTACTTATTTCTTAAAGATAATTTCACTTATGGTAATAATGATTTGTTTCAGGACTCTTGTTCAAAAGTTTTGTTCTAAGTAAATGAAATAATGCACGATGCTATTAAGTGCCAACTGCTTTTCTAAAATGTTACAAATAGAACACATGAGTATTTATTTATTTGAAGGGGGAAAAAAAGACCCTGAAGAAATATGGAAAGGAATAGCTACTGAAGGATGTAAGAAAATTAAGAGGTAATGAAAAGGACAGATTAAAGAACCATAAATCTTACCTCATTCTCTCTTCAGACTCGTCCGTGCTGTAAATGGACGCCCCCTGCCACGCTGATAACCCTGACAGTCTGTGGTTATTAATAAACTCATACCAAAACATGCAAAGGTTCACTGAGCTCATTTTTTAATAATTCGAGTACCAAACATTCCCTTTAATCACACCGTCCCAATAGAAAGAAGTGGGCTGTTTTTTGTCTTTTCCTTTTTTTTGGTTAAAGGATGTTTTTGAAATTCAAGACATTCCTCCCCCCACCCACCGCAAGGGAAAAGCAATCAAATGCCTGACAGCTTCTCAAATTATGAAGCAAAGATCTTTTTAAATTATTACTTTTAATCATGATTTCCTCATAATTTATCAATAATATGGCAGGGTTTAACAAATAACAAAAAAGGGGTAAAATCACACACACAACTGTATACCATTTTCAAGCGTACATAGATTCTGATCTTCAATATTGAACCTAATCAAAAGTATTTACCTAAAAGGACTTCCCACAGACTACCTTTCAGTTCTCAAAATTAATTTTTTCAGGACAACATTGAATTACAGGAAAAGTACTGTGTATGTGAGCTAGAGCCAGGTGTCTGGATAATGCAGCATTCTCATAAAATTGTCAACTTGAGCATGATTGACTGAAAAGAAAAAGTCAACACATTTCACTGAGTCAAAGGCCAACCTCAGCCTACAAGAAACAGTAACATATTATTGCCTCTAATATCAAACTATATTATTTCATGCAGTATTTGCATTTCACCGTCTATAAGCATTACCTTCAATACCAGCAAACATTCACAGATGCACTGTCAAGGAGAGAAGCTTTCATAGGCAAAACTCGTGAGTGGGATTTATTATGTACAAATACCCCATTTCCAAGCCAGTTACCCCTTTGCATATTTTTCTGAGGGGGCATCCATAAATATAATAAAAACAGAAGCGCATACTTACATCCTACTCCTTGTTACTTTCCAAGCTGAGAGTTTCATCTTGCATTAGTCACCATATGATCTCTATCATAATGGTGGGGTCAATGAATAGATTAGCTTTAAGGGAATTCACAGTTCTTCCATGCATCTAAAATTTGGTAAGTCTGGTAACCACTGGCCTACTTTTAAAAAAATTTCCCCCTCAATTTACATCTACACAACTATAAACCTTAAATTTTATCTCAGCTCTACAGATAAGATTTTTGTAGGATTAAACTGCCCCCAGAAATATACTATGATAGTGTATGTCATCCTGCTGCCCCACTAAAATCTAGTTTAAACCTGATCTTGATGTTGATGTTTAAATTTTACCCCCAAAAAAACTTTCTCTCATATTAAAGTGAGATGACTGCAAAGCAATCATTAACTGAAAACACTAAGGCCACTATGTCAAGGATCACTTTAATATGGTATTTGTTTTTGTCTCTTGGTTTCTATCGAATTACCAATTAGACCTATAAAATACATTTAAAATAACTCTATTGTAAAGTTGATTTTCTTTTTGACTGCTTGCTTTGGATTCTGTAAAAAGTCTAGTTCGGTATCAAGTGAAAAAAATAAGAATACTACCTTGTGTGTGTCTCTGAATTTGCTTATCTCTCGGGATATCAGGTCTCTTTTGTCTTCTTCCATTTCTATAGCATTTATATCCTCCTGAAAGACAAATAGGACAGGGGGAAGACTTAAAATCAGGCTGCAACCAGTTACTTCTTTGTAAAGGTTATCAAAGAAAGGGTAAATAAATAGACCTTTTTACAGTAGAAAACCTAACAATTTGAAGTCAGACACTGAAAGATTAAATGGGCAAGAATAACAACTATGACAATTAGCAGTAAGCCTAGTGAATGCTAACAGCTACAATAAACTAACCTTAGTGATGAGCGGATAAGGGATCAGTGGGGCCACTGGAAATCTGCGGAAAATCTGCGGAAAAATCCACAAAGATTATCTTTTTAAAGAGTTCATACTACTCTGCAAAATAATGTTTTAAGCAAAACAATATTTCTGTGATATTTCTCAATAGCAAAAATAAATAAAAATCCACTACTCCACAGCCCCTCCAATCACCCCAATAATGGAATAGGAAGTTCTAAAATACATTAAAGGAGTCCTAATGGGGTCAAGGTTGGTGGGGACAAGGATAAGGGTATTCGATCCCATAAAGATTTACAGTCTCAGAAACCCTACACAGGGTTTCTATGAGTCAGAATCCACTCAATGGCAGTGGGTTCGACTTAATACACTTGAAGCAGCCCTGGTAATGCAATGCTAAGAGTTCTCAGTTGCCACCGAAAAGTGAGTGATTTGAACAATCCAACTGTTGTGCTGGAGACACAAAGATCTATAGCTGTGAAAACCCTGTAAGACGATTCAACTCTATCATACAGGCTTGTGATAAGTTACAAATTGAATTGATGGCCCTGGGTTTTGAGTTGGTAGTAAGAGCTAGTAAGAATGGTATTGCCAACTTGCCAACATTTTCAATTACCCCTTATCTGACTATACCTTTGAACAGATTAGCACTAACACCAAGAGATTCCAAAAGGAGCTACGGTGACCCACTGGATTAAGCAATGGGCCATTTATCAGGGAGTGGGCAATTTTGTTCCCACTTAGCCAGTCCATGGGAGAATGATGAGATAGTCTATTTCCATAAAGATTTATAGTCTCAAAACTCTACGAACAATTCTACCTTAGTCCTGGAAAGCATATGAGGCAGTTCTACTCTGGCCTATGGGGTCACTATTAAGTCAGAACCATCTTACTTGTATTGGGCTTAGTAGACTCCAAGTAACACTCTTTCAAGATTGGAGATTCAATATATGGGATTTTATAATCATTAAGAACAAAAAGTCATAGAAAGCAAATGTTTTGAGAATGATGATGGCAAAAAATGTACAGATGTGCTTGACACAATGGATGGATGGATGTATGGATTGTGATAAGAATTGTACAAACCCCCAATAAAATAATTTTTTAAAAAGAACAAAAAGTAAAACAAAAATGCATTTGGCCACAAAGTAAACTGAAGATTGTCTAATAAGACAACAAAACCCAAAGAATATGAACTGTAAGTCTCCCTAGAAAATCACAATATATAAATGGATACAAAATCCTTCTAATTTTTAAAAGAACACTTCCTGTGTTTTCCTAAGTTCATCTAAAAAAATGAGTATAAAAGAACAAAATGCTTTTCAACCTGGACACCCTACTGTATACTCTTCTTTCTTAGTCCTCTAGTTTAGTTGGCTGTTCAACATTGTTATTATAAATGGAGAAAACTGAGAACTGGCTTCTGGAGGAATGGTGGCTGAATAGTGAAGTGAAACTCCCCAATGCAGAAACCATGCTTGGGATAGAAACAGGTTCACAACTAAGGGGTTATAAGGCAAAACAGGGCAGCCGCTTCATTTATCCCTCTGGAGTTGAAATGTAATCAAAGCACAAGAGTGACATCATAAGAAATCAACCGCTTTGGCAAAAGTCAGTAACACATACGTCCTCCTTCTTTTCCTTTTTCTTCTTCCTAGGGTGAGAGTCAGATTCTTGTGAGGGGGCATTGAGCTCACTGGAGTATTCACGTATTAAAACTTCAATTGCCCCTTTAATCATCTGATCTCTTCTCTTTGTTTCTTCATCTAAAGCTTCTTCATCATCAGTAGTGACCGTCTCTGGTCTGGCATTCTTAAGCAACAAAGCAATTTCAAGAGAGAAATGGGGGAGGGGGGGCGAAGAGAATTAAGACATTTTAATGTAAAGTTCACAGACAGAAAGTAAAAACAATATGTCCTCCAAAATATGTCCAGGTTCTATTAAATATGGAGTTGGCTTTAATCTTTAACTTGAAAACACTAAATTTCGTTTGCTTTATTTTATTAATACACTGGTACTTCATTTTCTTTCCCTCTCTTCCCTTGAGACTTGTAATTCTGGCTCCTAATCAACCAAAAAATTAAATGGCAGGACTATCAGTTTCGGATTGTCTTAAGAGTTAACAAGTTAACAATATTTATAAAGTAACTGATTCTTACAAATAGACATACACACAATTTTGTGTACACTACAATAGTTACCATGTAAAACAAAACAGTTAACATGTAAAACAGACTACAATAGTTACCATGTAAAACAAAAAGTTACCATGTAAAACAGCATTATGCTGGGTATACAAAAAGCACCAGACAACTACATACACCAAAATGCAAGCATCAGATATGGTAGACACTGAAATCGTAGCTTTCTCCCAACATCCACACAACCATTAAAAAGCCTGCCATTTTTAAATGTAAAAATAACAACTTAATTTTAAAAGCTGTGTTTCTAAAATACGAAAACTAAACTCAGTGCCCCTGAGTCAATTCTGACTCAGCATCCCTCCCAGGACTGCCTCTGTGGGTTTGAAGCAGTAAGTCTGTATAGGAAAAGGAAGCATCTTGCTCCTGTGAAGCAGCTGATGGGAAAGAACTGCTGGTCCCAAGCTTAACAGCCCAATATGTAAACTCCTACATAGCCACTGTTCCTGCAACTGTAAAGGCTATACAAGTCTTCCTCTCCATGACCCAAGCATGTAATATGGCATTAAAATGTTTTTTTAATTAAGTCTTATGTCGTGATGGTTGTCACAAATAAGTACTGAATATTTATAGGGCTTTGATGATTTTTAAAGAAGTTCAGATTGTTAACTCTATGTCTTTGAAAGAGAAATTAACAGCTTCAAATATGCTACTTTCTTCTGCCTTCATTTTAAACTGTTACTCTCCGAGTCCTACAGGTGAAACCTGAACAGTGAGTATAGAACCACCTGAAACTTTCAGTAGTCTCCAGTTACTATCAAGTAACGACTTAAAACATGGAAAGTGTACAAGGAAATGTTTCCACAATGAAGTAACTGATAAAAAACAGGTAAAAGTCACTCATTATTCTAAATTAAAACTATATACAAGCCTGTCTCCAAAATAGATACTTCATGAAATCCAGAACATTCTCACAGATAGAATCATACAATTTTGCACAAATACCTGGTTCTTAGTTAAAATAAATCCAGGGTGAATTTCACATCTTGTTAACTCCTTAGCAATACCAGTGAGCAGTGGTTTCATAACTGCCACACCACTCTGAATGTTGTGTCCAAAGGAAATATATTCAACAAGAGTCTTTCTTTTTTTCTCTAGAAAGTCTTATTAAGTGCCAACTGTGTATGAGATGGCATAATATTCAAAATAGATTACTTTGACCTCAACTGTGAAAAATGAGATAGGTTATAGCACAGAAAATTTCAATTTAAGGCACTAGTTATTACTGAACTAATCAATATAAAAGTTTCTTACTCTCAAATCTTCCTCTTCATCCACTCTTTCCCCCCTCCCTTTCTGACCCTACCTCCCTCAAGAACCCTTGATAATTTACAAAGTATTATTTTGTCATGTCTTAAACTGTCCGATGTCTCCCTTCACCCACTTTTCTGTTGTTCGACCCCCAGGGAAGGGATAATATGTATACATTGTGATCCGTTCCCCCTTCTACTCCACCTTACCCTTACCCTCCTGGTAACATTACTCTCATTGCTGGTGCTGAGGAGTTTATCTGTTCCGGATTCCCTGTGTTTCCAGTTCTTATCTGTACCAGCGTACATCCTCTGGTCTAGCCGGATTT